GAAGTGGATCAATTCCGTTTGATTTGACAAAGTTTAACTCACTTCGCGAGATAACGGTGCTGTAAACTGAAGCCCCGGATCCTGGTTACTTTTTCGAATGATCACACTCAGCGATAGACTCATGAAAGGTGTAGTGAAGTCGATCACACGCTCCCGGTCGTAAGTGATGGTCAAAGAAGCAACTGCCAGATGAGCCTTCTGAATTTTGAACACAAAGACAACACGAGTTGTTCATATACACGATATAGTACACGGTATTAAAACTGTTTTCTTGGGATACATTTGAAGAGAGGGCGTAGCCATGAAAATAACGCAGGGGCGTTATCACATTCTGGCCAGAACAATTAGGCAACATATTACAGAGGGTGTTTCTATCAAAAGTCATTCACGCAGGGTCGTATTTACTCACTGTATTCAAACACACAACATTTCTCACACGAATAAAGCAGTCTAACAATTTGTTTTACCGAATACTGAAACTTGTAGGCGGTTTACAAATTGTTCCTCCTGTTCATTCTGAGATAAATTTCGTCGTATTCTGGCTGTGATCTCTCCAAAGGAAATTGTTCGTTATAGTTCTGATTACTTCATTCCCCTCTTCCGGATCTTAAATTCTCTTTAACTTCCCACTTGCGACGACTATATACCTCAGCCGACTGCTCAATTATTTCGAACTAGTAACAGATGTCCAAACCAGTTACCCGGATGTAATTGTATTTCTAGTTCGCGTTTTAAAGAAGAATTTTACATTTTCACATGAAGTCTACCTGATATTTGTTCTAACTTTTATTTGAGTTTGAATGTCTACGACGTGAAGTACGATCGATTATAGATACATATATATATATACCTTTACACATTAATGCCAATAATATACATATTGTCTTTCTTATTGTTAGGTCACTGCAGAATTTTCTCTGCGGATTTTCATTGAACATAAAAAAAGTAAAACCACTTAAATGTGAAACGATTCGTAACTTGGTCTAGCTCTATAAGTGAATGATGATGATGATGTCAGCCTACGACGGCTATATGAGAAGCAACAATCGTTAATTAGTGTTAAATTTCTTAATGCTGACTGTAAATGTAATTTTCTGCGCCTTCTGACCTCGTTCTCATTCGCCTCATTTGCAGCGTCGTTTGAAGACCTCTTTCATTCGAGTTATTTGTTCTCCGTTATCACCCAGGTTTTCAAATTATACTTGCTTATATTAGTTGATAGGGTCACTAACAATGTTACTGATACATAGGTCAACGTTGATCCATTTACGGTTAGGGAAGCATAAAGGTCCATTAAAAATGGTAGGATTCATTACTGCGGACTCAAAACATTGAAGCTCATGTATACTCAGGTTTGTATGCCACAGGTCAGAAAGACGCCAATGTAGTGGCTTCTTTTAAACCAATTTAGAAAGCTATCTTTTCCCAGTGGTACGCATGGTGTAAAGATAAGAGAAATGATGAAACAACTGGGCAGCGGGACAAATTTTTATCAATCCTATTGCTAACGCATATCAGCATGAAGCAATTAACCTTTGCCTCGTAGCGAAATCGAAATGCTGAACGCAGCTTCAGTGCACAGAAATGTAATTGAGAATTGGCTCGGTGTCATGGACTAACATGTCACGTACGCGATTGAATTTTTCATCGTTTACACTGTCACCCGAGCAGGATATTTCAAAGTAGAAATATCGGGACACAGAATGAGTGCTGGTGGCAAGTCTGGCGATTAATTTGTTGTAATGACGTCAGATAGCGAACACTTAGACATTGAATTTGTAACTCCAGGTGGTGCTTGGTCCTTTTGTCAGGAGTGTGCAACGACTTTTACCAAGTATATGAACGATTGTCTGACAGTACGCACACCGTCTGGATGAGACAATGGGCAGAAAATCATGACCTGCCTTGTTGCACTTCGACATGCTATATCACTAAGATGAGTGCTTAGGATGAATTAGTGGGTTGAAGCTAAGGAACTTGAGTGTGGATGATGGCAAATGGAGGAGATAAAGCTTATGAGTTCTACATCTTACTACGTTCAGGTATTCGGTTTTCTCTCTCCTTCTAATTGATTGAAAACGATGTAAAGTTCATCATTCATAAATGAGAGCACTAATTCAACCAACCACTGTATAATACACCATTATCACAAAGACATTAATTATAGATTAGGTTGATTTTACTAATCAGTAGGTTCTCTTATCACTAACACTTACAGAACAAATTGCCAGACCTCGCTAACTAGCTAATAACTAACCAAGCATGAGTGTTCACCTAAACTGGACGATTGAATTAGTTATCTACTCACATGTCCTACCGATGTAATTGTTCGATTAATAATTCACTTCGACAAAGATTGCTCGTGAAACTCGAAACTTTGAAGTTAAACTATCATTTTTCCAGCTCTGCCGTGTTTTTACTATTTCAAGCAACCTGTTCGTCACCATACGGCGCAAGATATATCTAACGTTATAGCAACCTACTTCGAGAAATGTAATGTTACTTTAGTCCTCTCATTTCTGGAACACCAAGCGTTTTTACGATCAATATACTAAAGCTGATTAAACAACGGAAACCAACGTTGTGTTTGACGGTCACTACAGAGAGTGGTTGTGTGTATGTTCCATTTATTTTGCAGTACAATGTCAAGAAATAATTACAGCACGCTCCGCTGACTCTTTTGTTCTTTGTGTGAGTTAGTAGTATATCCCAACCATCCTTCGTCTTTGAATACAAGTAAAACCGAAATCCGTGGTGAGGATGAGTTTGCCATTCATTGTTACTCAAATCGCATATTAAACTAACGGTGAGAAACCACATTTTGTCAGTTATTCTTATCTCACTACAATCAAATCCTCACAAGCACATATCACGCAATGGTATAATGATGTAACGTCATAACGTTTCTTCAAAAAACGACGCCATTTCCTCTGCACAAAGCACATGGTTTGCAAACGTGTTCAATGAGTTATGATTACCGTGTTTTCACAATAGGGAAAGTAGTAACCAACAGTGATAAATAAAGCAGGCGGAATGGCTTTGTAAACATGAAAAATTTGATAATCGGCTGATCTGAAGGCTAACAGTATATTGCAACAAATAACAGCTATCCTCTTCAGCTGACACACCGTTCGATACAGAACGGAAGCATATACTTAGGTATAACAATCAATGTGCCACGTGTTAAAGATGCTCAAGCAATTTCCTGTGTGGTCAGTAGTCACGAAGCATCAATAAATGGAAGAGAAGGCAGGATGCATGTTGGGATAGTTGACACGATAATTCAGCATATTGCGGAAAAAAGAACCGTACTTCATCGTGAATTGCAGGTCATATCTAGGTAGCTTCCCTGCGTAGCCCATATGTTTAAAATTCGAGGTGTTTACTATGTAAAAATCAAACAGACTTACCCTTTTCATACTGATTTACAGAATTAAATTTCAAAACAGGCTTAAGGAATTTTGGCTGTTACGACAGGGGGAGAGTTGAACTCGCAACGTTTGTGTCACTGTACGCAGCATTTATACACTGGAAAACCTGCTCAGTGGAAGTCGGTTAAACTACGACGCTCACACTAAATGAACCAACTTCCTATCATTTCTTAGACACTTCAGGTTAGTTTAAGTCAAGGTTAATAGTATTTTTCAAATTAAGAGGTCGAAGCCAGCCTACTGAATAACACTTCATAAATTTTACTTTCTCAACCACATTTTTTTCGAAAGAGGGGGAGAGAGTACAATACTTAATTTCCAAGTAACAGATCCCTGTTTTTAACTGATTCGAATCATAGTAAACGAAGTTCAGTAAACAGATGGCCCAATGACTCCGATCTTTAACTTATAAAACACAGTGATTTGTGATTTACTTTAGTTTGGTTATCTGCCTTCAACTGTTAAGTTCCAACTTAAACAATATCAGTCTTGGGGTGTGCTTTTTGGGAGCGTATCCAATGATTCACTTACATCGGTTTAGTTTAGGGTTGTTGTAGTTGTTGACAATACCAACTGACACACTGATTAATGGAATGCATTCTACAAACATCCCAATGGTCCGTTGTACTTTTGTGACTGATAAACTAGCATAGGGACACATTTTTGGCTCTGATACATCAAACGTCCTACAATTGTTCTGTAGAACGGATTCTTCTGTTTCACAGCCCTAACAATAAATTGTAATCTTAAGACTACATTTTTATTTACTTTGATTGGTCAAGGAATGTATGGAGTACATACATTAGATGACCGTATTATGAATAGTTTATACTGCTGTCAACAAGACCAACATTTGTTCATTTGTAAGCCTTCTGCCATGATGAAGTGTCACCCTATTGGGAATGTTGGCTAACTGTAATAATGGACAAACAAATGTGGCTATACAAAATCTAAATCTGATTCCCACAGTTCGTCATATTATGTGGCAATATAATGATCAAAGGTTATACCCGATTAACTAATCGTTATAAACTTTTTTGTAGCTCATACCATTTTCTTACTTGCATCTATGGGGTTGTATGATACCACCAAATACGAGGTTCAGAGATATTTAATTTAAATCCAGCTGAACAGGCTCGAGTTAAATGTATACGGAATAACTGAAACAAAACAGTATGGAGAATAAACCGTATGCAAAGAATACACATGTATGCTATTAAAATCAAGCGCTGTTGACAGTATACGAAAATCACGCTTGGTTTTAGCCACGGACCGACTGAAGTGAAATCCGTTTGGTTAATCAATGGAATTAATTCAAATTTACGACACTATCGGACGGTTTCACGACGATTTTCCTTGTAGACAAATTAGGTGCCAATTTCGGCCATCTGGTACCTGCATGATTTGCTTGTATGGTTAATAGTCTACTAACCAACCGTGAGTACTACGAATTCAACTAGTAACCGTTTAAACCCTAGGAATGCCAATGAAAAAAACCATCATAAATATTCAATTGCTTGCGCCAAACAGCGCAAAGTAATAAGCCTATTTAAGTCATTCGAGTAGCATGGCTTCGTAGCTCAGTTGGTAGAGCGTTTGCCACATTGAGGCATGATGTTTCTGTCACTGGTTGGAATCCAGCCGGAGCCCTAACTTTTCACCATTGGGTCTCATCTAACAACATAAATCTGCCGAACTACTCATTAGTAATAAATTCGAATAGTATGGCGAGCACAAACATTTTGAAATATTATTTTGAATTCACTCATCGATCAGCTACATACATGCGTCTTTTCCACAGCAAAAATTGCACTCTGTGTTTGGGCCCGAACAAAGGTGTGATTTTTCATCAATCCCACTTAAAATATAAAACTTTGCAATAGACTAGCTTACCAAAGCTAGGTAAATAGGCAAAATATAAACACGTGGTCTGTATACGACGAGAAACGTGACGTCAGTTAGGAATCTGACAGAACCGTCTTCTTTCTGGTGATAAAAATTGGTTTACAATTTTTTCTACAATAATTCACAGTGTTGTACAGGAATCTGCCATATAAATCTGTTCAAAGTTTCATTTTTCTGTTCTCTGTCTATTGTGAATAGATTAGTCACAAAAGTGAAATACACTCGGTGTTTCTAGAAGTTAAATTATTTGCTAATGGTTGTCCAACTGATCATGCAGAGGTTTGTGCTTGCGTTAATTACACTTGCTTGAACATGATTTATTACATAAACATTGCTTATATGTGGTTACTTCATACTAACAGAGTGTTATCTGCTCATAAAACTCTGAACAAGAATAGTTCGTGTAATAACCCACAATAAATTTATGGCATGAAGCTGCCAACCACGTATCGAGTCACCTGAGGGAAAACACGATTGCTAAAGAAAACTGAATGAAAAAAAAGCGGAAGCTGCCGAAGAGAATAATGATCATTAAATATTTTGATGTAATTTTATTGCTTTTATATACCTTCAAAAACTGATAAACTTTTACGGAAAAATTATACATGGCTCAACTTCGACTAGAAATAGAAATAGTAGATCACTTCTAAGATTGTAAGTGTATTTTTAACGAAAGGTCACATTGAACGTTAGATAACCACTCTTTTTTATATAGAAAAAAACACACTAAAAGTAGCTAAGGAGTCATAATTTTGTTCAAAGTGTATATGACTACAGGAGTTCATTTGAGTTTTCCCATTTTCCTAGTTCCACCAGGCTTGACTTATAGGATGCTCAGTGAACTATTTATGGGAGGGAATACATGAAAAGCATCCTGTTGGGCAAACGGCTGCACTGGAACAGAGATATTTTTATTGCATTTTTGACTATCTAACAGATTCTGATCACCGAGTGACTCTAAGAGTTTTCAAGACGATCACATCTGTTCACATCAAAGATGCGAAATCTCTCATTTTGTTAGCTGTAAAGACTAACGAAATCCGGCCACGAAGCCTGAAACTGTGTGCGCAACAGCCACTTGTTTATGAACTAAAGTTGATGTGGCTGTTGTGATTGGTGTGGCACAGAATAACTATGTTCATAATTCCAAAATGAAGTTAGATTTACACTGTATTAAGGACCAATAAATCGTCATCTGAGCATCGGTTTCACACTTATGTTGTATTTGGTTCGAAGATGACACTCCCCAGACAGACTTATTCATCACGCTTCAATTTCTGCAATGGTGAGAATACTTGTCACCACAAGATGTGTTAAGTGATTTGATCAAGGGTAAAGTCTTAATTGATTTGAAAATGTTTCCAGAGGCCCCGGCTATGTGACTGATAGTTGGTGTTGCCAACACTGAGTTAGGTTGAGGTTTGACGTGAAAGTATACACATATCTGTATTTAATGTACATTGTACCTAAGGAAGGACCATTGTGCTACACGATGTGGTGAAGATTCAGTGAAAAGTGAGCTGCTTTATTATAGATGTAATGAAGTGTCCACCGGCATTATCAATTACGATTCCGTGCTAAACCTGTTGAACCCTCTGGATCTCAATCAGATGAACCTCCTTTAGTTGACGGAGATAAGCCCCAACTTCAGTGGTTTTACATACTGGTGCCGAGTCAACATATATCCGTGGCGCTGTTTATTTCATCCAACCACAGGTTAAATTCTACGAGTCCATGGATGTGGTAGTGTACGATGGACACTCAGAGAATAGATAAATCAAAGTTTGGTTTGGTACAGGGATTTTCAGTTCATTGCTCATACAACGGTAGTGCTTGACGGTGTTACCATCCATAAACACAGTGAGTCTATCGTACGCAACAGATTTTGTCAAGGATGGTTTACTGGCTATCATGGTCCTTGAAGTCCTGTTCGTGCTCGCCTCACTCACATGTTCATTGACATCCAACCTACTTTCCGACTATACAGACTTATTCCCCACCAGGTACAAGCTTGAGTACAACCTTTTGTCAATTTTGAAACAGTATTTCCGAAAAGGATAGCATAATTCATATGGACGAACACATATCTCCAACCTCTCAAAAGCCTTTTGAGATCCTCCTGTGTTATCAGCATAAGCAAAACCGAAAGGTTTGTAGCAGATACCACTGGATTGTTCATTTATCAACGCCATCTTTGAATATCATCCATGACGAAAGTCAAGCGGAAACTTTATGAATGAATAACCTTCTGGTATACCACTAATGAACGAAATGGGTGCGATATGGATCTTTAAATTTCAAACTAGCTAGAATATTGAACATAATTCGAGGTTGCAACTGAGCACGTTTAACAATCCGTAGGTTGTTTTCTCATGACTGTTGAAATTCTGTGACGTAACGGGGCTGACTAGTGTCGAGAACAAAAGTGTGTTTAAAGTCCAGTGAATATAAACAAGGCCTCCTTGTATTTCAGGGACTTGCACTGCGCACAAACTTGTTTATTTAACGTTTAGTATGTCGTCATTATAATGTAGATGCTTACAGTGGTACATAATGTTTGAGTGAGCTATGAGTTGGTAGTAATGATGTTTCCTACACAACAGACACGTTATGTATCAGGTTACTAAGTCGCTGGCATTAAGTGTCAGATATTCGCAACTTCCTATGACAACTTAACTCAGTAGTGTGCAACACCAAAAATCGGGTAATTAATTTGAAAACGTACAGACTCATGTTTGGATGTGTCAAATATGTTGCTTTCGCATGAATTTTCTAAAATTACAATGTACTGTAGTGTCCCACTTACACTATTAAGCAGATTACAGTTTTCACATGAAAACTCATCGTAAACCTATCCTACGCTTCGTACTCATCTATACTTCAGAGTCTTGCGAACATTCACAGACAGTATGGGCTACTTTTTGTATCTACGTTTGAAGCTAAAACTGGTTTTTGACGCTCGATAACTTGCACTGTGATGTAATATATTATAATTAACCAATCTCCTAATAATACGGTCATATCAATTTGAACTGAATACATTCTCAGAAAAAGAATAACCAGCAGGGCTGTTTGCGGCTCATCCAACGCTATTCAAACCTGTTTTCAAAGTGTCCTACCCTCCTCTATGCATATATATATATATGAGTATATTGGATTAGGAACCACTCCCCGGAGTGTACAAAAACCATTTGGTGCCGTTATCTGAATGTAGACAGTCGTAATTTATGTGAACTTTCGCCAGTTGTTCATTTTTCCATCAACCACTTTTCACGTTATTTTATGCTTAACTTTCATTTATTCGCCTGACTCTGATCGTCTTGCTTACCGAAAAACGTGAAAAATGTGAAAATTGATTGGGAAGTGGAAGGTAGAGTGATGAGTCATGATTCCAAGCACGTGTGGAGAGCCCAGAGTAGGCAACTGAGCGGTGGTTTAAACAATTCAATATTACTTAGTGATATGGCTTCAGAGCATCTGTGAGCTGCCAGGTGGTCGACTGACGAAAGTACAGGTTATACTAACTTGGTGTATCAACGTGTGTGACCAGTGTGCTGTGACTAAAATGAACAAGTAGTTAGTCTGTTAACCCTGTGGGTTACCGGTTCATCCATATGTGGGCTTCAAGTCACCACTTCATCGTATGCTTATTTTTTCCAGTCTATTGCTTGAAATGCATGTCTGACACTTATTTTGGGATCAGCATAACCAAATGGAAATGCTTGCGTTCATATGCAAATTAGAGTCGATTGATTATCTTACATCAAGGGTGGACCAACTTGCTGTTAATAAATGAGGATGCGAACAAATCGATTGCAAGCAATCTCATCCAGCTGTCTGACAACACGCCAGGCATTACGGATATGGAATGAATTGGACGAACGAATTAACAACGGTCACAAGAGTGGTTCGAAGAATGACTAGTATTTGAGTAAGTTAACATAAGCTCTGGTTAACGAAAAGCGGTGGTAACATCGAACCGTTTTATTCACTCGGGCTGAGTGATTACTAATTCGGTGCGTGTGTGCAAACGTGTACCATGTCTGGGCAAGTGAAAGACATCTTAGGCACATGTCTGATCAATGCATCCCTGTTCCCCATTTTTACTGAATTCAGGAAGCTCTCAAATGGAATATGGTATCCAAGTTTGTTTGTGTCGAGATGCACTCGCTTCGCACTGACGCACGGTCATGTAATCATATGCGAAGCACCACCTGACAATAATTTGCTTGGTATTCGTAGGCAATTTTAGTTTGCTGAGAGTCCATTTTGCGTTGTGATTTGTACGAAGAAACACTGCCTACCAAATTTGAGAGTGGGCAATAGTTTGACGTTTTATTTATTACAATCTGACAGTCGAGATAACGCAAAGTGGCTGGAACGATCTAAAGTAAAGGGACCGAAAGTTCTTACTGGTCACGGTGCAACAAAACGAAGTGGGACAGGCTGAGTTTGATTCTCATATATTAGCGGGGGAATTGCAAAAAGGTTTTCGAGGATTGTGTTGAGGGTACTTGCAGTCAGGAGATCAGTTAGCTGTTTAATTGCAGCCATCATAGGCATTTTATGAACCCATCAGTTCTGGTCAGCTGAAACAGCTAAGGAATTTTACACTGGAATGTCTATCGTAAGACTCAACAATTGTTATGAGAAGTACGATATATATTGTGGACAGACAAGTGAGAGGTGGCATTTTAAAAGTACGGGGGAAGCAACCAAATTTTACAGACTAAGTGGATAGTTGC